TCCATCGCGCGTCTGTCGTGTATTATTCTACGATTATCTGTCATATTAATGTATAGTAGAAATTAATGGTGAAAAGAGAACAAAAACAGTACATTGTTTCTGTTAAAATAAACTTTGTTGAAAAATACCTGATCCCACGGGTTCTGTCACCTGTCGTTCTTCGATCCTCGTCCCGACAGTGCCGGGAATGCGTGTCAAGGCGAGATTAAACGGGGAACGCGTGGGATTTCTCGGCGCACGTGACAGGTGAACACGGGTTTTCGATAAGGCGATAAGGATCGATACCGGCTGCTTTGTCGGCGTTCTGTTTCCAGGTAAATATTTACAATGCTACTTTTTCTCTTCCATTTTTATCGCGAGATTGGCTGGCTCCGGAAGACGCGTGCGCTAACGCGTCGAATTTTTTGTTATTTATTGGATTTTCTGCGTGACGGGAGCTTGTCGATGCTTTCGTTTGATACACCCTGTAGAACGATTGTTTCTTCGTGCCGGAGTTTGAGATTGGAAGTAGTAAGTTTAGTTCAAAATTAATGAGGATCGTGATCACCGTTTTGGGAGGAAATGGAAAATTGAATATAGAGCTTTACGAAACTTAACAATTTATTTGGTGTAAATTGTATTGCATATAAACTTATTCTAGTCCCCTGTGTTGTCCGCATTTAGATTCGTCGATTTTCTCTAAGAGAGCTTCGCCTGAAAGCATGAAACAGTTATTTAGAGATTCCTCCATGCTTTTCTTAGCTCTATTTAGTCGTATTATTATTTTTAATAGCTTCAGTGTGAAAAAATAATTATAGCTAACTATGGAACTATACTCAAATTACTCAAGAGTTTCAGAGAAATATTAAACCATGAATCAAAATAGAATGCAAAATACAATATAAAATAAAATATAAAATAAAATACAAACTAACATACAAAATAAAATACAGCATAATCTACAAAATAATCTAAAAAATCAAGTTTTCAATCCAAAAATGAGGAAGTTTTCAAAAATCATTACTTTCTACCTAAACAAACTTCGCGAAAGAATCTTTTTATCCAAACTATGTACCCACGAATTACATTAAAAATGAATGAGAAAATATCTAACCGATTCCGAAACAAGTACTTACATTCTTGTGAATGGCGAGCACTCCGTCTTCTTCGGATTTCAAGATCTCAACGTACATATTTCCGTTCGATTCCACGTTGACCACTTTTCCGGTGCACCGTCCGCCTTGCAGGCCGCCAGAAATCACGTCGCAGTACCTGCCGGGCCGCAAGCAGCTCCTGAGCGTCACCTTCATGTCGTATTGATCGCCGTTGAAAGCGATGAAACCAGCGTTTCCTCTGCAGAACGCGATCTGGTTGCTGCCATTGTCCCACCAGTTGTTGACGTTGGTGCCTTTCGCAGCGTTACGGAATCCGATCATGTTGTAAATCTGCCTCCAACGGTGCTCGCAGACCCAGCCGTTTCCGCAGGTGTTGTCAGCGTGAATAGCAGGAGATATAATGTGACCCTGGCCGTTTTGAGGTGGACCTTGATCGAAATCTCGGTAGTCGAAGGAACTCATCACTCTTGGGATACCGTAATTTTGAGCCAACATGAAAGCCACCGCCATCTGAAATGAAATTCCATTTCAAATGAATATTGTGCGCTTGACGGGTTAAGTGGAGATTAATTTGTAGTGTTTTATGATATTAATTCTTAATGTTCGTTGAAATACTTTGATCTGTTTTTGTAGATTCATTGAAATATTTTGATACAGCTTGATCTGTTTTTGTACATCCATTCAAATATTTGGATATAGCTTGATCTGTTTTTGTAGAAACATTGATAATAGTTTTGTGTACGTATTGAAGTAGATAGTATTAATACAATTTTGGATGAATAGGTTGGGATTGTGATTGATATAATCTTGAAAGTAGTTTTAAAAGTAATCTTTGTTGAATGTCGGAGGTATTAATTGTTAGTTGATAATTTTGTTTATAATATAAAAGAGCGTTTACTTTGGTAAGTTTTAAGTAGTGGAAGCCTAGGGTTTAGGTTGTATTTTTGGAACTGAGAATTGAGTTATTTAATTAATTACTTCGGTAAGTGATTACAAGTGCTATTTGTATTAATAGAATCAATTAATTATCGTCACATTTTCATGAAATACTGTGTCAACAGTTCTTCGAAATATTACCATTTCCTAAAGAGTACAAGAAACGTTTGGAAGGCTACCTTTCTGCGGTCGTCTGACTATACACCGACCTATTCTACTTGCTGGCTCTAACCGAAATATTTCTAATCATTAAAACAACTTCCAAATTTGTCCTTTAATTCACCTATCCATCGAATAAAATATTGATAGATACTTATAATCCAATAATTAAATACCAGGCACTTAAAAATATTTAATCTTTAAACTTCTTTACTTTAATTGCTTAAATGTATTTTAAAAAGAAATATACTAACCAGTAGTAGTTTTAAAAAAAAGTCTATTTTTCTTCAGGTTCTTCGTGAAGCTCTTTATGCCCAGAAATTGTTAATAAATGTAAGAAACAAATTGATGTATTGAATACATACCTTGTACAGTTTAGGTGTTTTGTAGGTGAGTGGAGCATTGTTGGAACGCTGTGTGTCGTGGTTGTCGACGAAGACAAACGCGGCCCTCGATGGCAGAAGACCCCATTTTTCTCCCCAGTTAGAGAACCATTTCAACATATTATTACCACGGAATGAGTTACTGAGCTCCTGACCATGTTTGAATTCAGTCACCGCGCCAATCTCGTCGTATTGGTATTTGGAGACGGCCTCGTGGCCATTATAGTCGATGACTTCTTGGTATATGAATGCTTGGCTATTCGGTGCGAAACCGTGGTGTACGTTCAGATTCTTCAGTCTCGAGTAAATGACGCCCAAGTCAGCTGGCCACATATGCTTAGCAGCGTCCATACTAAAAAGATGATAAAAATATACATTAAGTGGACAAAGTAGAAAGTTTTAATATCTAAACCAACGTCATATATCGAATGTACTAATTTAATTAAATATTCTATAATGTTGAAATTGTAAGAAAAAATATTAGAAGTATTAACGAGGAAATCTAATATATTATTCTAACAAACCCTCAGTGAATATTGAAAACATATTGAAACGTAATAAAGCTATTAATCAAATTAGTATAATATCATATGAAATTCAAATAAATAAGACCTATATAAATTGAGAAAATAACTATATATCAAACTACTGTTACGAAGAGAAGAAAACAGTATAGACAAGGTATATTTTTGTTACAAAGTAATAAATTAAGAAGCAATAATTCAGATAGTTCACGTATAAAATAAAAAGTGGTTAATACATTTAATGTCGTGGGGGTCACCGGTGACCCCCAACCAAATTGTACTATAGTTCACTCAATGAAGCAACTATTATTTGGAAACATTTCTATGTTACAAATAATGCTGTTTAATGTGACATTCAACTAGAAGAACGTGCAATAATAATAATGCAATTCAATCAAATGTTCAATCAAATGTCAATCAACGTGTTAAATATAGTTTCAACAATATATCATTATCAATACTCAAAAGACTTTATAATACAACATATTATAAAGATGAAGAATTTAATTAACACATTGCTGAAGAACAATTACAATAAAAAACGTGATTTTAAATAAAAATATTTAGTAACATAAGTAGCTAGATCATAGAGTAACATGACTACCGTGATACTAAACCATTAATAATTATTTTCAATATCATTCGCCTTTGTCATTAAAGAATAACGATTAATATTCAAAACGCTAGAAATTCTCGTGGCACTCAACGCGTTAAGAAAGATACAAACCGGAAACCAGCGACACCAGCATCAATCGCTTCGTTCATGAAGTTAACTATCTTCTCTCGGACATATTCGGATCCCTGGTTCAAGTCATGCAGACCGTCGAGTTCGCAGTTCCTCACATTGGCGGCGTCGTTGTAGTTGGTGATCGAGCAAGTAGGGTGGAAATCGTTCCTACTGTATGGTACCGCGTAGTAATCGCGACTGTACGTGTTCGCTCTGGAACCACCGGTGCCCACTGCGTTCGCGTGGTCCGCGCACATGTGGTTCACGACGGCGTCGACGTAAATTCGGACCCCAGCTTTGTTACACCTAGCCACCATGTCGATGAATTCCTGTTTATTGCCAGATCTTGTGACCCACAAATAGGAGATCGGTTGGTACCGCTCCCACCATGGTCTGTTCACGACAATCACGTTTTCTTGAATCGGCGACACCTGTGTGGAAAATAAAAATATTTCGACTGTTTTATGGTTTCGATCATTGGTAAGTAAAGTACTCTTACTTTAATAATCTAGAGTGTAATATTTTCTGTAAGAAAGAAGAGTTGCCATTTTTCAAATGGCACTTAAAGCTAGGAACAGTTTAGAAGAAATATTTGAACGTCTGTTTGAAGAATTAGACGCTGTATAATTTAGATTAAAGGATATTTTATACTTTGGTAGCACTAGTTTAATTAACAATCTGTTTTAGTATAATTGTATGAAAATATCAACTTTCCGTGTGTACCATATTCTACTTACCACTTGTTTTCTTTAAATCAATTAACGTTCGTTTACTATATTCCATAAAGTATTTCATTAAATCTTAATACTTCGAGTGCCATTTGTAGTTGCTAAAATTGCTTCGAAAATTGCCATGTAATTTTATCGAGAAGTGCTTAGCTTACAGGGAATATAAAAATTGTATCATTTATATCAATGCACTAAAACGTTCACAAGGTACAATAAACATTTTCATCTTTTGGTAGCCATGTTACTTGCAGAAATTAGGCGAAAAATATTTTGCAAAGAAATTATTCTCACAGCGACGTTGGCACTCTAAGGGTTAATATAACATTTAATAACACAAGTATATAAAATACTGTATTTCTCCTTGTCTTCTAAAATAATGTTTCTATTTCTTTAACGGAGATTCAAAGATACAATTAAAGAACAATCCACAATTGTACTATTTACAGAATTGACTGTAATCAAAAAATGGCAACAATGATTGTAATTGTATTATACGAATTAATTTAACAAGCGTCTGAGAATGAACTCACTTGGACACCTCCGTATCCTTTCGGCCCGAGGAAAGTCTCGCACTCTTTCGCGATGTCGTTCCATTTCCATTCGAAAAGATGAACCATGCCATCGTGGCCTGGCGCATAGTGCGGGTCCTGATGAGCGGATTGGACCACCGCGGACGAGCAGAGGACAAGTAAAACAGCGGTCGCCAACATCGCAGCAGGTTATGTCGCAAAACGATCGGTTCCTCAATTTATATCCGGTCGCCGCTTACATCACTGCTCTCTGCCGCATCCAAAGGTCAATCTTCATCTACCACCAATGATCTCCTTATCGGTTTGATGCTCCATTGCCTACTCGATAATTTAGTCTCCCTGTACATCTTATCTTTCTGTAGTATCAGGGCAAACAGCGCGATGAAAAGAATTTTTATGTAATACCTGATACCGATCGTGTTCTATCGATCATCGATCGGGATGGATCGGGGTAAGATTTAGAAACAGATTTCCTTTTCACGTGCCTGTAGATAAGCTAATTGATGTTATAAATATTCATGGTATTCAATGTTATCGTATACTTATCGTTAGAATACGTTTTAACATTTGATGTGCTATCTGCGTAAGCTTGACAGATTTGTTAATTAGAAATGAAGTATCTGTGAAATATGAAGTGAAATTCATTTGATTTGTATGGCAAAAGTAGTGTAGAAATTGTAGAAATTTTATACTGTGTTCGGTTTATTGAAGTGTTTTGTATAAATACGTTCTTGGTAGAAATGGTACTGTATTAAGAATTGGAATTTAATTGTGACGATTGATTAAGTTAGATTTAATATTTACATAACTTAAATTTATAAGAGTTAGCAACCATATTCGCAAGTTTTTCTCCAAAGAAACAAAAATTATTGTTCTATGAGTTCTGATAAATAATTCTTTTATTTATTGTGCATTTCAATAGTATATCTTATCTAACGAAAAATGTTGACACTATACTTATGTAATGCAAATATTGACTACGATAAAATTTGTGCTGCGTGTATGGCCAAGTGTCCTTAAAAGTATTTTAAAAACGGCACGCAACGTGTTTCTAATTAACATTACGAAATATGTTTAATAAAACCACCTGTGCTAACAACTGACAATAACTTATTATGTATCACGATCCGCATAACTCTTCTGCAAATTGGGTTTCCTTGTTGATGTACTTTGAAGGCTACTATCATTCCAGAAATATGTTTTTCAGAATTTCCAAGGCCACCAATGTTTTTATCACGTGAAATTTACTTCTCAGGAGATCTATTCCTTGTTGCGTCAAATATTTAATAAATCCGTAGATGTGCAACGAGATAATTTCTAATTTCCAAAATAATATATAAATATTTAAATTTATTTTCATTGAAATACTTTAAGTGGCACATTGCCTACATAGAATACTGATATTATAATATTTCTTTTATTTTGAACACTACAGCAAAATGTTTAAGATACGAGTTGAATAATTTTTAATGAAAAATTGAAATGTAAAAAATGAAAAGCAACAAGAAATGGAGATGTAAAGAATTTTTTGTAAAATGATTTTCCTTTACAGTTTTCAATTAACAATTCTTTTGTGCGAAAGTATCTGTTCCCTTTCAATGTATCTTGCAGTTTGTGTTTGCTGCAATTCATTCAAGTATTCAAAGCACTCGAAGTTATCGCTTTCTAGGAGAGCGTATGGAAAAACAATTGAATGTTTGCGTCGATAAAACATACGACACGATATCTATTAACAACAGCACACCGCTAAGAACAATCGATCGTAGATAGGGATACTCCTCCAATTGTTTGTGAAGTAACGTCGGTAAAAGTTCCGATTATTTGTCGTGTTTTCTCAAGTGATATCAGTTGCTATCGATAAACATCGAATGAAATGACAATGTTTACGAACACAGGGTATATTGACTCTAATAATAGAGTACTACTGAAGTGTTTTATTGTTTCATTCATTCGTAAACAGAGAAATTGTAAAATTACTTCAATATAAAATTATATTATTTTCCACGTTCATTTTATATAAATTAAGGTTGATGTATGAATAATTTTTTGTCTTAAAACTGGTACGATAAAGTTACAAAAACAATTGCAATAAATAGTTATATCATCATAGAAACTACTATTAAGCATAATTCAAAATTATTTTAGTAATATTATCCAAACAGTATTATCAAAAAATAAATTCACAAATAAACTTGATAAATCACAGAAAGACTTAATGCGCATTTCAAACCCTTAAATAATTGCATAGAAACTATATAACAACAGAATAAAGAATGATCTACCACATTCCAAGCGACAATAACAATTCTAAAAATCTTTCACATCGAGCCGAGCGCGCAAACAATTTTCAACATGATCACCGAGCGATTACTAAACAGTAATTACTGAACAAGAACAATGAGACCGCGCGGATTGTGTAACAGTTACTTAGAATAACTCTTCGCTCGCATAACATTGTTTACGAGATTCCGACCCGTGAACATGAACTCCGTAGCATCGTATGAAATTTATAAATCATCGCGCGCATAAATATCTCCGTCTTTGTAGAATAATCATTTGACAGATGTTACAAGCAGGGGCGTATCTCGCGCGATTCAAATAACAGAAACTGTTGTACTTTTGTTGCTGGATGACGTTCGTAGGAGGAGATACCGATTTTTCTAACATGTTGCGAAACCAGTGTTTACATTCCTCGCCGCGGTTTTAGTATCGTTCGGCACCGATAAAGCGATACTCCGATTGTTTCCGTTGTGAACCTTCTGCACCATGAATCAACAGTACGCCCCGTTCAAGTATAATTGCTCGTCAAATTTTTCTCCGATTTAGAAATATTCTGTTTCCTTAACCTTTGAACAAACGAGTATCTCCACGCGACCATACGAATTGTAACAAGAGTTCGTGGGAGCGCGTGACCGGAAATAATGACTAATGAACTATACTGGTGCGCAAAACGCTGACGCGAATTCGATGAATACTAATGTACAAGCGTTGCTCTATTGCACTTTTTGCGATATGAACATTTTCTCTTTCTTTTCTTCCCTGTGTTTCTATTCTTTTTGTTTAGTGTAAATTAAGTAATAATTTATTAGAATCGTTTATCTCTTTCACTCCAATGGTCACTGTCAGTTCAGATTCAGCACATAGAAAATTAAACAAATGAATATTTAATGTTAAGCTTCGTATAATGCAGCGATATGTAGAGTATTGAATAAGAAAACCTATGCTCTTTAATCTACTCGTTAAGTTGCTCCCAAAACATGTCTGCATCTCATTAGGAAATATTGATTATTTCTAGCGAAGTACTTTCGGAGTGCAAAGGGTGAAATGTTAATATTAAGAAATAGAATATTGTATTTTTGAAAGTAATTTGTGCAACGAAAGAATTTGCGCTTACAAAATGTCTGAAATCTCGATGACAACCAGGCTAATAATATGATTTCATTAATGCATTGAAATATTCGTATACAGGTGTAGTCGCGACGATAAATGAATAAGGTACTATTAAGAATATGGAAAATATTCAAACAAATAATCGCGTAACATTTCCTCAATTTTTCCCTTGAATATTTATTGCACCATAATCAGAGGAGACCGAGGTGCGTTCTTCCATCGCCGGATATGAGCCGCCGATTAATTAACATTCATTAAGTGACCTTATGAGACCATATTACAAGGTAGTTGCAGGAAGCGAGTGTATCGACAGTTGATTTGTGAACCTAATAATCCTTACAACTTCCGCCGCGTTTGTCGCTATATTACACCGATGAATATCCGTTACGATGCCATTTACATTTGTAAGAACGTTTCGTGCGTTCGTATGAAATTCATTATTTCATCCGCATGTTCCTGCGCCGCACTGATTGCCTCCGTAGATTTCCCTTTCCATTAATATCATTTAATGCGATTTGCATAAAGCATAAAACATGTCGCGGCACGTATCAAGATTGTATTATAAAATAGCTTTCTTCCCGATCTTTCGAAAGTAAGAGTCGCTGTGTAATTGAACGCCGCGAGACAGATTTTAAACGGCAATGAAATTATACGTTCCGATTGTAATTAAATTAGACGAAAAATATATTCCTAATAAGCGCGTAATAGTAATTATCGACTGTTTTTCAGTTAAACGCGAATAACAGCTCGGGATTATGCATAATCCGTTCGCGACTACGTGAAACTTAATAGGCTGCGATGTTAAATTGTACATTCGACCAATTTATGGAACCCATGAATCTAAGATATAGAACAATTATATAATGTAATCAGTTTTTTTTATTAATCTCTGATTAATCGTAATTTTACATTACTCTATACATTTACCTTAATACCACATAAATAACAAACGTAAAAATATTCGAATGTAGTTATAATTACATCTTTCTCACAAATATCATGTCTCTCGAAATATGGTTCGAAACTTCGATGTATTCCAGTTTATTCTTAATTACCACTTGTTCAAACACCATCAGTTTTAGCGAACGTAAATCTTTTATTTGAACATAATCCATCGGTTTATCTACATTATCGAATAGTTCCTTTAAACCATTTCTCCGTTTTCCTGTCTCAACAAATCGATTAAAACGACCGAGCGTTTAACCATTTCTTATAAGCGTACTTCCGTCGGAAAAATTAAAAAACGGATCGAATCCACCAATTAAAGGTTAGTACGAAAGTCGTTTAAAACCGCACGGTAGCCATTTAATCAGTTCACCCCGCTAAGGCACTTAAAGCCTCTCCCCATGGCCGTCTAACAGCGAGGAGTCCTTCTCCGAGGCGTTTCTTAGCTAAACGAATTATCCAGGCCCATCAACGCATCTCGCTGGTCTGATTGCTTCATATGCAAGAGAGCGAACTTGCATATACAGTTGCGAACAAAAGTTTCCGAACGATATCGTTTCTCGTATTTCATGCGATTTTATCTACTCGTTCCATTCGGAATCATAAGAAAAGCAATAGATTGTATTTCTCTGTGAACACGTTTTAGGCGAATTCTTGCAAATCGTTAAATTCTTTTAATTCTTTTTTTACTCCTGATGATGCACGTTGAATATCATGAAATATATTCACATTTTAACATTTTTTGTCATCATATGAAATACTGAGTTATACCATAAACAGTGTGATTTTTGTACAGATCTTTTATTTTTAAAAATTCAGATAAACAAAACATTTTTTAATCTAAATATAATACTTCGTTATCTACGCATTATAATTAGATTTTAAAAAGTTTTGTTCATCTTAATTTTTTATAATAAAAGATGTATACCGCATTGTTCATTGGATGACGTAATGTTTTATAAATAACATATTTTCATAAGATACTTCATTTACGAGATAATAGCCTTCGAAAATTTGTCAGTTCACTCGTATTACTCAATAAATCTCGGCTAATATGTCTGTTCGTGACTTATCATATCTACTCCTTATAAATGCCACTGCGTGCTTGTTGGATAAACTTTCTAAGTCGATTATCTCGAGAATAAAGTATTCTACGATAAAATTCCATTCCACGTTTCCGGCTTACTTTTACGCATAGATTTTTCTCTCCTCAGTTGTATATTTTTAAAAACATCTTCTACAAGTGTTTCTTCCACTAATTACATCTACGTAAGAATATTGTAAAATTCTTCTATTTGGTATATCTACATGTCGAGATTCTAAAATTCTTCTCTTTATTACATCTACATTCCAATGTTCCAAATCCTACTAATTACATCTTCGTACCAATATTATAAAGTCCTACTCGTTACATCTATATTTCAATACTACAAAAATTCTTCTACTCATTACGTCTACATCCCAATATTCCAAACTCCCACTAATTACATCGCCGTACCAATATTAAAGTCCTACTCGTTACATCTACATTTCAATACTATAAAATTCTTCTACTCATTACGTCCGCACGAATATTGTCAAACTCTCCTACCCATCGCATCTACATCTCAATATTATAAAATTCACCTACTCGTTACACCAACGTCCCAACACATCCAACTCCTCCCACTCGCATCTACACCCAACAATAACAAAATCCCCACCCACATCTCCTCATTAAATCCACCATACCCCCGAAACAAATACCAATTATTTCTTTCAACACCCAATACCCCTAAGACACTTAGCCAATCCCCGAAAGTCAACCCGAAAGCGCCATCTCATCTCGCATTCGATTTCCTCCAGCCAATACTCGAACCAGCCCGAGTTTTAGAGGTGCTCGTGAAAGGGCATCGCGCGGCGCATCCACCGGGCATAATTACGAGCGATCGTTAATCGGGCTCCCTCGGTTCGCAAAAGGGGATCAAGCGACGGCCGAGGCTCCTCGGCCGTTATCAACCTGCGCCGTGCGCGTATATCGCCGCGGAGGAGACGCGCTCCTCCTCCCCGTGTCCCTAGCCCAAACCCATGCGATTTCGCTGCAGGTTACAATTACGAGCGAGGCGCGTAATTAAAAGCCGATGTCCCTCGTTTATTAATGCTACCGGACGAGTCCCCGGGTCCGGGCCCTGTCGATGCGCATCGCGAGATGCCGGCCGCCCCTCTCCCCGCCGGTTTTAATGCCCCGAACGTCATCAGTCTTCGAGCGGCGGCCTTCATTCCGCCCTCCCTCATTTCCATACCCGTGCACGCGGAATGTCCGTCCGCCAATACGGGTTATCGATAAACCGCGATAATTGCCACGCGGCCGGATGACTCAATCAATTTTATGTCCCCGCGTGTAATTAAACCGGCCGAGTCTAGCTAGGCTTTTCGCTCTGGCCTCTCTGCCTCGCGATCTTGCTCTCGGACTGGGCTCGCTCGTTCCTCTCGGCTGGTGCGCTCGTGTCCTTGCTCGCCGGAGTTCGAGTGAAGCTTGGCGTCTCTTCGCGTTATGGGTACTGTACGCCTCTCGCGTTACCTCCACTCGTCTTGGGTCTAACCTCTTGCGCTGGAAATTCGAAGTGTTGCGCGAAGAACTTTCTTTTTACCTGTTTCACGCGTTTTTGCATGTTTACGTCTTGGATTAAGGATGATGGGGAGATTGTGGGGATCTTGAGGATTCGGTGATTGGTGTTTCTGATGTTGGGTTTGCGGAGAGGGAGTAATTTTGAGGAGTAAATGGGGGTTTTTGAGGTAATTTAATGTTGACACTGTTACTTCAGTGTGACAGTTTTGATCATATAGGAAATGGGTAATGGAAGAATGATTGTAGGGAGTTGGAAGATGAATCTTTAAGTATAGGAACGATGGAGTTCTTCCGATGAAGTATTTAGTGCCCTGTAAATGAAATAATTGATGTAATTGTGCAAGCAACATTATTTTCAGAGATAATTTTATGAGGTAGATCTTCGTATGTGATTTCTGGCTGTAAGATGAAAAGATTCTGTAGAAATTATAGAAATAAGAGACAAAATTGAACAACATTTGAAATTATAACTATCCTTATCAGTCCAGGTATAACTGTAAACAAAAATACGTATGAGAATGTTTTACGCAAACATCGAGTAACTACGAGAACTTTTATAATCACAACTTCTTTTATTATACTCTTTTCCAATAGCTCTGTGTATTCATGACAGTTGAACCTGAGACAAGAGCATGTGTTATACGAACAAAGTATTGTCGATGATATACGCGAGGAGAACAACGAAAATCCAAGCACACAGAAGATCCATTATCTTTCTTGCCGTTCTTACTCTCCTAAGTCAGTTAACAATTATACATACTATTATACACGACAGTCCGACGTTTAACAGAGGAATAGCGAGAATTTCACAATCACAACGACAATGCGGCTGCGGATGTTTATGCAAATTCAAGAAACCGCGATCTCGAGAAACAGAAAACAGAAATGAAACTTTTCAATTTTATATTTCCTTTCAGTCGGTTGTAAACTGAAAACGATGCTACACGCTTCGTAAATTTTCATTTTTCTCAACGCTGCGCCTTGAACACTCGGTGTCTACGATGAACGCATAAACTCCACAGTCCGATAATAGCTTCTCCCTTCGTTCGGTACTAAACAGTTCTATCGAACGGAAGCAGTGCGGCTTGCGAGGTACGAAATTTACAGAAATTTTACAGTTCCTTTTATTTACACACGAGACATGTTTCGCTAACAACAAAATCGCTGCGTGTTACTCTGCGCACAACGTTGCACGGAGATTGCACAGACAATTGCACGGCTATTAAGAAGATAATTGCTCATTATTAGTCCCTCGCTTTCTTTTAGTTTCAATGCAGCCTTCGAGCGAAACTCGCGTTCGTGTAACTGGTCGTACACAATACGTACGCGAGATTGTCGCAAATGCTTCTTCGAATGTTGCTTCAGAATCTTCGATGACGATACTTCGTGTTCCAAAGTTTTCTAATCTTGGAATGTTAAATTATGTAGCATTCCATTCTTTCATTTTATAAGAATCTCACTGTATAAAAAATTTGATTAATTTATAGTTATCGAAGTTAGAATGAAATGTTTTTCACAGTCTTATAGAATCTTTCGTAACGCAACGATGCTTTGTTTTTCTGTATAGTTGATCAAAAAGTTGTTACTCAAATTGTATTATTGAAGAAAGAATTGATTGTATTATTCGTGCAACATTTAGGCGATCTTTATTGATCATCCTTGAGCGGTTAGCTTCATTCGAAGAATATTTGCTGTTGCACACGCAGAAAATAGCAATCACGTTCGCGCCTTAACACACGTAAGTACATTGTTTCAAAGTACGTGCGATTGCCACGTTCGGCAATCGTTTATTATATAAGTATTAACATTCATTTCCTCGTTTTACTCCCTCAACACTTCTTGCTAACAGAATTTGAGATTTTAGCATTCGGCGAATCGGAAATTGTCGACGTGCTTTATATTAATGCTGAGTATTACATCGATCAACAACGTTTATAAACACTCTGATTTTATTCATCTCTTAAACAATTTCTTTTGAACTGACATCCAAGGAAAAAAATATTCGTTGTTCGTAAAAATCAAATATCTCAATAAAATAGATTATACTTGTAAACGATTAAAATTTTGCACAATATGTTGACGCATGTAAAATATTATTTTTTCAAGAAAGACTAGAAAACACAAGAAGCGTAAATTAATTAAATATTAACGATTTAATTAATTAAGTAATGAGACAGTTTGAAAAATTTAAAGTAATCGACTTCCATCAAAGTATCTACAAAAAAACCGTAAGAAACAATCAGAATATTCTCCTCCTCGCTGTCAGTCATGTAAACATCATTATTATATTAAACATTCACATTTTCGTGAACGAAATTCTTAGAAATCTCATTGCATTTACAATAACGAAGTAATCTCGCGGCAGTAGCCTCCCGCGTTCTCCGGCGATTCAAAATGGCGAACGAAACTGTGGAAACGTCAGGGACAGCGTCGAAAGCAGCGGCGTTAATTGAAAACGTCAATGAAATACACACTCCGAAAACAGTGAGAAACACCTAAAATATTATAAAAAGGTATCAAATTCATATTCCAACTACTAATACAAAGAAACTTCAACTAATCATCCTTAAACACTCAGTAGACAAATATTCTCACTCACAAATCTTCGAGGCTGTGACTCTGTCAACGTCTTTTTTATTCATTTGTTATTAATAAAATAGCAAAATTGAAATGAAAACAGGTTGACCAGCGTCTCGAGGAATCGTTTGTCATTGTCAAATCATCTAAAGTTCTCGAGTACCTCGCACGGAAGCAACACGAGCCTATAACACTCTATTTTTCATTTAGTATAGTATCAAATATAGATGTATAGTTACACATATATATACATGCGCGTATATATATATATATGTATATATATGTATATATAGTTAGTCTTTGCAGTCCTTTGACATACATAATTCACGGCAATCGATGGATATGTCCTACGGTAAAACTGTTTAACAATAACATCACCGACCAGCGTCTCTGTTCTTTCGTTCCCTTTGTTGGCATCGACATGCTTCACGCAATTGGATTTTTGATCGATGTCTGTGATAAAATATATTTCATCGTCTGTGATTGGTCACAGGTAAAACGGATCTTGGCGAGCTCGTTCGAGCTTGATAGAAACGATCATTTCGTGTAGTATATATAATGGAGAGGGTCCAGTAGTTTGGTAAAAAATTGATAGTGTGTCCGAGAAGGGAACATTCTTGCCTTGCAAGTGTAGTGTCATTAATGATAAGTGTATTCAGTATGAGAGAGTAGAAAAATGACGAGGAAGCATCGACTTAATTAAGATGTCGTTAGAAATTAGTGTTTCATTGTCCAACGCGTCGATTAAAGTAGAAAATTATATGGTGTATTGAAATGATTGATTAAAATAATTGATTAGAGATCGCAGTTGAAAGTAGTAATGAGTAATAATTATACAAATCAATTATTCGCTTTTGTACTATTAAATATTCCTGATAGATCATTTGAATTAAATTAAGTATATTTTTAATTGTAGAATGCGTATGTTTGTATATGGAAAGTATTCAATCGTAACATTCATAACTGAAATTAATTGTGGACTGGAAAGATTGAAATATTACACAGAAAAGAATTTAAATAACTGGATCTCAGTAGAATTAATTTTAAACTTTTAAGAATCATCATTATTAATAACAAAATATCTAGAAGATAGTATTAGATAAACAGCTTAAACATTTAGCATATTTTTGACACAAAGAAGTAATAAAGAGTGAAACAATCAAACACATCTACTCATCGGTTAATAAACTATATCTTACACGATTCAGAATGAAGATCAAATCAGAACAATTAAATATAACGATTGAAACAGTTTCTCAAATCAGTCTCTCAATAAATATTTCCATCGAACAACAATAAGATGTTTATATATTTCCTTTCGTTCAGCATCTATTCAACGAACCAACCGAAAATATCAACCGATCATCGACAAACTCCAAAAATCCCGATCAAACATTTAATAAACCTCCAGCAACGAAATCAATAAAATTTGAAACGAACGTTCAATGTAATTATCCTAGGTCCACGCCCGAGGTACATCGATTCCTATTAACGCGTCTAACCGTGAGCGCCTGCTCACTCGCACACTCACACCGACAACCTTAAAACATCATCGAGCAACACGCGACCGCGTGCAATCTCGCGTTAGACTGTAAATCGAAACGATGGATCCTCAAGATCTAGGCGACGAGACAGACTGTTATACTCTGGAATAGTTTCCCGTCGCGGAAATAACGAATCCATGGCGACAGGTGTCAACCAGGTGGCAAACCAGAAATAGAAGACAACGAAACGGACATCTTTAGAACATGTGTGTTTTCAGGAGCCAAACCAAATTCGCTCGGCCTTCCTGCCTCACCACCAATCTTATATAGAAACCGCTCACTCCTTCTCTAGGAGCAGCGATCTCTTGCTCCTGCGGCTGATCCTGTTGCTCCTTCTTCTGAACCTCTGCCTTCTTCACGCGAATCTTCACTCTTTCCTCTTTCTTCGCTTCCTTTGGCTTTGCCTGCTCCTCCACGGGTTTCTCGGCTTCAGGCTTCCTGCCTTCGAAATACAACTGATACTGATGAGCTTCTAGCTCCTCTTCGCGTCGTCTTTCTTGTATCTGTCTCAGCAACGCGTCCTCCTGCTTCTGTAAAATAATTTCCTGCTGAACTGCCAGGTGGAGCTTCAGCTTCTGCAGCTGTAGCTGCAGTTTCCTCTCCTTCAGGATCCGTTGCTGCTCTTCCTTCTCCTGATCATTCAGCAGTTCCTTGGGCGCGGTAGCCTTATCTTCGAGATGTTTCCGATCGTCTTGTTGGTCTCGGAGTTTAATTTCCTCTTTCAGCTCTTGGTGTTCCTCCTTCGCTTCTTGCAAACCTCCTTTCTCCTTTTGAACCGTTGATTCATCACTCCGCTGACGATCTTGCTGTTTCTCTTCTTGCTTCTTAGGTACTTGCTTCTTTGACGCTGGTTTCAGTGGTTGCGCCTGCTGCTGAGTCTCCGGCTTCTCTGTTTGCTGATGGCTCTCCACTTTGTCTGCTTGCTGCTGGCTTTGTAGTTTCTCTGACTCTTGCTGGCTTTTCAATTTCTCTGCCTCCTGCTGTCTCTTCGATTTCTCTGCCTCCTGTTGACTCTTCAATTTCTCCGCCTCCTGTTGACTCTTCAATTTCTCTGCCTCCTGCTGTCTCTTCAACTTCTCCGCCTCCTGTTGACTTTTCAACTTCTCCGCCTCCTGTTGACTTTTCAACTTCTCCGCCTCCTGTTG